AACATTTAAGCCATGCTGTTGGCTCGTTTGATTGAGCTGTGAATGTGATACAAAGGGGAAGGGAAGTATAAACTATCGCTCGGTAGTGGAATTTAGAGACAGACAAGCTAAGCCTACAATCACGAACGCTCTGGAGAAATGATAGACATGTACCTAGAAGTGTGATTTGATTTCTTCCGTCGTTTAGCCATTTACCACTGTAGTTATTTTTGATCTGTGCCATTCGTTTAGTCAGAAGCATTTGCTAATATCAAATATGTTGATGTAAAAGGGAATATATTACCAGGAAGTGAATCATGGCTCTTTGCCAGATCATTTGCAACAACTGTGACCCAAAACACAAGCTCCTTTGCAGCACAGCTGTTATCAGCAGAATGTCCCGTTATCCTGCGTGATAACGGCTGCGAAGGTGACTTATACGTTGAACGAATTGCAGCTAAATTCTTCCATAAATTAGCGAAAACACAAAGCAAAAAATACACCTGGACATCTAAAACATCAATAGTTTCCCGCACAGACTCTATTTGGATAACGCTACTTTCCGGGGAGTACGGTGAGCTGCATATAACGACCAAATATTAACCGGTCACAACAATCTCAGCTATTTGCACAAACATTTGAAAAGAGCTTTGAACTCCAAATCTTGTTCAGGCACCGCCGTTGTTTATAGAAACACTCAGCGGGGGACTCAATAGGCTGTGGGGGAAATCGACCTCACCTTACGCTCATGTTACCACAACAATTTTGTTTAAAAATAATAAATGTCGACCGAGGATTAAATCTGAGAAAAGATAAATCAGGAAGCTATATTATATATATTAGGGCATCCGACGCAACAGGTATAAATATTTAGGCCAATGAAATCTTCTCTGGTCCGGAAATACTGCTATTAATAAACTACTCGTGTGTAAAACTGTCAGGTCTTGGTATCTGTTTTTGTCTGGAGAGTCGACAGGCTCGATTTCCGCCGCTGGTAATCGAGCCTAGAGAGTCGAAAGCGATTTTCTAAACAGAGATCAATTTCAGCCGATTACCGAGGCGTAGCAAAAAGGCTGACAGAGAGTGTCTTTCTTTACCGTTGGACGCTCGACATTTGTTCGTAGTTCGCTATTTTGTAGTATTTTTATTCGATCGTTTGAGATCCGAAATGAATAGCAAGAGAACTGGACGCCACCTCCCTCTGCCACCCCTGAACTGCCGCTCTTGGGTTTACATCATTTTTCACGATTCTTTTCGAACGATCGAAGAAAAATATGAAAAAAAACAGAGGGTTGTGAACAGTCTAACTGACTGACGGTTGATCGCAAAACGTTGCCTTCACAATCAATAGAGCGGTGTGGCGGTTTTCAACATTTGTATCTATTTGGCACGTGGCGATGAGTAACTCAATGTTCTTGGCTCATTAGTTGTCAGCTGCGACATCCTAAAAAATCAAGATAGTAATCAATGGTACAAGGATGGTGTCAACCTGATCCAACACAAACTCAAGGTGAAACCGAACACAAAAACTGCCAAGAACGCCATTCTCTTCATGGGCGATGGAATGGGCATCACTACTGTCACCGCTGCTTGCATCTTGGATGGACAGTTGAAAGGTAAAACAGGCGAGGAGAATGTGCTGAGCTGGGAGGAGCTCCCTTGGACAGCCCTGGCCAAGACTTACGCTGTTGATCAGCAGGGTCCTGACTCCGCCAGCTCTGCCACAGCGTTTCTGACTGGAGTTAAGACCGACCAGGGTAGGTAACGAAATAAACAATGCTTATCATTGGCGAAGAGAAAGAACCTTACTTCAGGAACTCAGCAAGCTAAATATGTATCTGCCTCGGGTGGTAGATAGTGTGGTTCTTTGGCAGGCCTAGCCTGGGTAAATAAAACGCAGGCACAATTTATTCTCTGTCTTACTGGAGATTAACCTGATTCCACAGTTCTCCCTTTTCGATTTCTAAATCATCTGTGAAGCGCGAAGCGGGCCAAAAACGGTGCTTCAGTAGCAGAAAAACGAAAGAAAATCATTTCTGTTATATTGCGTTATCGGTATGTAATTTTTCGGGTCCAGTCTCGGATGTCGTCATAAGGATTAGGGAGAGGAGAAGGAGAGGTCTCTTCATTTCGACTAGAGAAGGTATAGCTTTGTGCCAACCACCACCTGGGATAAATCAGAGTAGTTACTTGCGCACGCACACAGTTCAGTCAGCGGTCGGGACAATGTCAGGTACAATAAAGCAACCTGATTGGTTGATCTAAGCTACTGGCTCTCCTTCCGTAATTTAATTTAGTTGGTAAAAGGGCAGCAGATTAGCCTTGATCTTTTCTTTTATCGACTTTTACTACGTCTCAGTCGACAAACACGTTAAAAAGACCTTGACCGGCTTATTCTTCCATTCCTTGAAGTCGCTTAGTTCATTGATATTTTTCAGGTGTTATAGGAATGGACGAAAGAGTAGAATGGGGTTACTTTTCGTCTGCCAGTAAGGAACGCGAAGTTGTCTCTATCCTCTCGCTCGCAGAGATGGCTGGGATGTCAACTGGGTTCGTGTCGACCGCGCGCGCCACGCACGCAAGTCCTGCGTGTTCGTATGCACACTCTGTGGACCGTCGATGGGAAAGTGACGCAGATAAGAAGAGAAAAGCCTACGATGATCCGTCTGCATGCAAGGATATCGGTAATTATAATCCATTTATTATATGGCTCTGTCTCACAAGGACTGGTAACTACCAAATTGACGAATTTGATTGGCTGAAATCGATATTGAAAGCGGTCTAGATTTTCCCATCTAGACCGACATCTAGACCGGTAATGTTTTGCAGTGAAAAAGTTGCAAACTAAAATGCAAAATCATTGACTGATTTCATCTAACACTATTTATTTATGGAAGTGCCAAAAAGCCTGATGAGCAAAAAACAGTAAAGAGGACCAGCAAACTTTGGCAGAATTAAATTCAGGTTATCGTCGTTCGCATGCAAAATGTCAGTTAGTACAAACTTGTTACATTAAACGAATTATTTTGTTTTTGTTTGCGCCATATGATAAACATCTTATTAACCGAGCTTAGTCGGTCTGTGTGGGAGAATCTTGACCTCGGTCGGAGGAGGACGGAGAGAGTTCATGCATCAAAATCAAACAGACCCTGAGTATCCTGATAAAAAGGGAGAGAGACTGGACGGCAGAGACCTGATTAAGGAGTGGGTGGACAAGCATCCGAATTCCCAGTATGTGTGGGACAAAACCGGTTTTGACAAGATTGACGCGGAGAATGTTGATCACATGATAGGTATATACCTTTTAAATGCCTTTTACTTTTGCGATGTTTTATTTTCATTGCTTATGCACACCATTAAATGCTCGCGAAAGTAAACCACCTTTATCCAGCATAACAAAGAAGATCCATCTGTTTATACTCACCAGGCTTCCCACTCTCTTGCAGATCACACAACCGTTCAGTTGAACTTTTTGAACTATTATGCCGGGTTTTGCTTTTCTACAACTTTCCTCCACGCCGTTCGCGGTCTTCTCCTACATCTCTTCCATCACTTTGTTTTACCATACTCTGTCCTTCTTCTTGTATTTTAACCTTTTTCTTTGCTCAAATCCTATTAACAGTTGAATAGCGAGTCTTGAGGGTGATGGATTATCAGCCACTTATCAGTTAAATTTTTTGGCGATTTATCTATCGTTTAAATTCATGAGTAAATCTATTTCAGCTGTTAGTTAGAAAACTCTTCATTTCTTAGCTAACAGTCCAAATTTTGACCAATTCGTAGCTCAGTGTCAGTTAAAGATGATTTCCAGTCCGTACTGCGCACTCTCGAGTGTTTTTTTTTTGCGTTTTTTGTTTTATTTCATGTAAGACATAACAAAATGTAAACATTTCGCAACTACTCACATTACGTAAATTCAAAGTTTCAAAACAGCCGCCATTATAGATTCAAAGCGGTCGAAGCTTTATGCTTCGTTCTTTCTTATATCACCTGATGAAACAACTTCGCAGCCTTAAAAATCAATGAAGCTGTTGGGAAAAGAATTTGAAAGGCCTCAAAGATAAGGTATGAGGTTCGTAGCGAATAACATCGATTCGCATTCCATTGAGTGATACTTATAATGTTTGTAAACATTAGGATGCTGAGACTGCGCAGTACGGACTGTAAATCATCTTTAAGCCCCATGCAGACCCTTATGAAAAGTATCTTTAATTTCTAAAGAAAAATATGAGCGTGGGGCATTAAACAGTTTCAACAATTTAACTTTCGGAACATTCTTTTCTACTGAGTGGTCATTGTTCTCTCTTTCGGCAATAAAGCCTTATGTAATTTCCACTTGTCAATTGTCTTTGCAGGACTTTTTGAGTACCTCTAACATGCAATACGAAGTAGACCGAGCGGACGATGCCGCTGGTGAACCTTCAATAGGGGAAATGACAGAAAAAGCCATCAAAATTCTCCAGAGAAACCCCAAAGGGTACTTCTTGTTTGTCGAAGGCGAGTAGATGATGACATTACAGAAGACATCCTTTTGCTATTTTACAGTTCAAAGGTCCCTTTGCTTTGAGCCTGATCCCAGGGGTTGAAGCATGACTCGCGGCGGATCGTGGTACGCGGGGGTTCGGAAGGGAAGCGAGGGGAGGAGAGTGGGTCAGGAGGACTCGTACTTTAGCTGATCTCAAGTAACTCATCAGGGCAGGAAAATTAGCAGTCCAGTTAACGAAAATCAAGTTTATCCAGTCTAATCAATTGTTTTTTTTTTTTTTGACAGGAGGACGTATTGATCACGGTCATCATGACGGTCAGGCGGTTAGAGCTCTTCATGACACTGTAGCTATGAATAAAGCGGTGTCTAAAGCAACCGACATGATAAATCTAGGTAAAAAAAAAAAAAAAAAAAAACGACACAAAATAGATCAAGATCCGAAAGATTAACGCGGGTCACGCTCGACAAATTTGAAAAATGCTGCAATAATTTCAAGATTACTATTGTACCACTAGCATTATCATGCGGACGTTCTGGCACATTCCCATCATATAAAAATTTGCATTATTNAAAAAAAAAAAAAAAAAAAATTAAAAAAACACTGTTGCTCTACCTTGCATACGGTGGCTGCACTGCTGTGCTAGCGGCGTCAGAACCGAGTGGTCCTGCCCAAACAACACCATAATAATCTTTTTCTTCGCAGATTGCAAAAAATAAAGACAATTAATGCTCAGATTGCTCTGACCTCTTCTAATACCTAACTCGAGAATTCTAGGTTTAATTTGACTAGGAATTAACATACTTTGTTCAAAATAACACAGCTATTTTCCTACCTAGCAATCCTCGACGAGCGACGTGCGAGTTGTCGGACGCAGGTGACCCATTTTTGGCGCAAAAAAATTGAAACCTTGGAGACATAAAATGTTTCATAATTTCCACTCTTTACCATCTGATATGGTTTTTGGTATTATAAATCTCTTTTCGTGAATATTCAATGCCGTCTCTAGTGAGAAAAGTGGCCCGACCTCAGTTCCTTTCCTGTTAACATATTTTTTTGGCGTCAGGCTTCGTCAAGACAGTGTTGTTTTCCCGCCTCCTCAATCCTGATTGGTCAATTCAAATTTCAGGCGCGCCAGCCGTATGCAAGGATGTCAGATATTTTCGCCAATTCCTCTTCTTAATTCGTAGCCTTAAAACTTGGCAGAAAGTCTGGCTAAATGTCTTCGAGAGCAACAAGAAAAAAGAAAAAAACTCATTTCAATTTCAATCATAAAGCTCGCTAAATATAACTTTTTTCTTCGTAGATGAAACCCTGCTAACAGTGACCGCTGACCACTCTCATGTGTTTACCGTCGGTGGATATCCAAAGCGAGGGAACCCCATATTTGGCTTAGTGCGTCACGTGAACGGAAAGTTAGCAGTAGACTCGAATAACAAGACATACACCTCGCTTGGTTACGCCAATGGCAGGGGGGGATTAAACGGGAGTCGTCCAGACCTGAGGAGGGTGGACACAGCAGACAAAGACTACTTTAAACAAGCTACAGTGCTGAAAGATTATGAGACTCACGGATCAGAAGATGTTGGTGAGTTCTAGTACACGTTTTCCCAATATTTTAAACTCTTGCCAAAGTAACTGAATTTTCTAGCACTGGATCAGTTTTGAGACAGTTTTGGACAGCTTCACAACCTAGCGTATTCTTGTACAGATCGAACTCACAGCCTGGCCCGGGCATTCCACGGACCAAAGACACGCCTGTGAAGGCACCTTGGAGGCGTTTCGACGCTCGCGGGAAGTTAAAAATATTTTATGAGAACGTCAACGGCGGTACCTGGCAGTTAAATTTTGTGACATGCCAGTTTGATTTCCTCATAACCAATTCGCGATTGCATCTATTATATTAAAGTGCAGTGGGGATAGATAGTCGCTTACCGCCGGTTGCAACCCCTACATATGTCGACGGCATATGAGAACCACCCTTGCAAACAATAAGAGTTAAACTAACTTACCTACACCCTGTTCAGAAAAAAACAATTTGTAACTCCTTCGCTTCTCTTCTCAGGGGTGTACGCGGACGGGCCTGGAGCGTACTTGTTTCATGGCGTGGTTGAACAGCAGTATGTTTTCCACGTGATAGACCACGCGTTGTGTTTGAGTAGCAGCAAACAGCAGTCATGTGACAGGCACGTGACACGTGGAGGACGAGAAGTCAAGAATACAGCTTACCTGACTTCAGCACCTTCATTACATCTCCTGATGGTGATGGTGGCGTGTTGGATAGCTGCCTTTACACAATGTTGATTACAAGATACTAAGGATGCGTTTTTCTTTGGGAAAATCGAAGATTGGTTTCTTAAATCCGAAAGTATTTTGCGTTTCTTTGTTAAGCAGATTAATTCAATATCACTTGAATCATGGTGCGTCAAAGGAACCAAAGAATCCTTTCTGGGCATGGATTCTTTAGTGCCTGTGATGCATTATGGTCCGAGTGAGATATATTGGATTAATCTTTTTAGTAAAGAAATGGAAACTCCGTTTCTTGGATATAAGAATCCAATCTTGGATTTTCCTAAAGAGGCGCACCCGTAAAATTCTTTTATATGAGAAACGATGAGACAAGTTGAGATAAGTACTATCAGAGAAACACAACTGCATTTAAAAATTGTGGATTGACGGCAATCGTGTTACCATCATGACAAACAAGACTGTATTTTCTGAGAACTATGATTAAATGAAAGATAATGTTAGCACAGAATGTGGTAGTGTTTTGTCTTTTCTTCTCTCATGCCTGTTTTCGATCACTGCCTTCTGTTTTGTTTAGTCTTCGAATAGCCCTTCGCCGAAAGCAGAATTATTCTCTTTTCGTAAAATCCATGTAAAAGCGTTCTTCGAAAGTCCAAATGGGGTGGTGACTTTCACGGCTAATGGTTACTATTTTGGCTTTTTACGGCTAATGGAGAGATTTTGAGACATTCAATTTGAAGCTAAAGGTTTTAGCGGTTGATATTTTTTTACAATCAGACGGTTAAAATCTCAGCCCAATTTTTACGTCTCAAGGCTAAATTTGTGGCCTGTTTTTGTGAACCGGGGTTACATAAGCATAAGCATAAGGATGGCTATTGCGCAGGCGCAGTTCACCTCTCAGGAATCAAAGATGGCGGATAACGAAGTAGAAATTGGATTGTTGCTACTGTTAAGCCGTAGGAATCGAAAAAGATTGCTTATGCAAAGACAAACACAAAGAAAACCGAGAAAGGTCTGGATAAGAGACATTTTTACGAGAAGAAAGACACAAGGCGATTATTATAACCT